AACACCTTCCCTTTTCATAACCTACCCCCCGAACTCAAGAAAATTCTCAAAAGGTATTTCTTGTTCTTTTCACCCTTTCCTTTATTGGATAAAAGAAAAGTCGGCAGCGACTCTTGCTATCCGCAACATTTGCGATAAAATGCAAAAACACCAAGTCAGATCTCCCACCATATTACAGATGACAAAACAAAATGAAGCCCTAATGTTGAAGTGTGCCACATGATAGCCCCAAAGAAACCTAATTGCACTGATTCATGCTTAGATAATAAGCCTTTATCTAACGATCCTCTTAATCACCACATGAATAGGGAAATAAACCCTAAATTCCAAAGATAAGTGCTAATACACTGAAGAAACGTCTCAATTCATGAACTCCAAGAATTTTCATGTCTAAGTTCAGAGACCTTTGAAAGAAGTCTAATTGAACGTCTTGCATCATAAGTAACAATGAAGCTACCCCTCACATGATGAATAAGCCCAAGTGTTGAGAACAAACCCAAGATGATTATAAGACCAAACCCCAACATTTATCTGATAATTCCAAGCATAAGGAAGCAAACCCTTAATCCATGATTAATGAGAACCCAAGTTAAAACCAACCTACATAGGATAGAGACCCCAATTTATTAAAAAAAAACATTGATCTCATTCTAACCTTATTGATTAATGATGCATGATGTGTGAAATGACCTAATGGAGTGTATGCAGATGAAATGAGGAGTGCAAGATGCGTAAGCCAGATAAAAGTAAAAGGGTGGGACAATTTGGGTTATTACACTAGAGAGTGGCTTACAGACTCAGTCCTAATAATAGACATTTTTACATTCTCAGCTAGCTACTTATTTAGGTTAATAACCTTCTATTTATAACCCTTTTCCAACTGATTTTGGGCTTTACATCGCAACATGTCAATTGTTACAAATCTGCATAAACTTCTGCATAAAAATAGATCTTCAATCATAACCTTCCTAATTTGTCTCTATAATTAGAAAGTCAATATTCTTCTTGAATTCAACTTGAATCTTCCAGACCTTGAAATAAACATCACATAGGATAGCATAATATTTCCAGGATACTTTGCATCTGTTAAATCTTAAACCGATCTAACAGCCCAGCCCAACATGTTGTGATGTCGAATGACTCTGCATAGGATATCTTGTAGAACATGTCGCTCTAGTTGATGAAACATCTCAATTCAACATGTTTCTTCATAAAATAGGACTTATTATTCAACTTGTTTTACTCAGAAAGTTAACTTATCCTATTTATCATATTTCCGTCATATTTTTGTTTTACTAAAATTAATGTCAATTCTAAAAACAGAGAACTAACAGAGTTATACATCAAGGATTGAGTATAATGGCTTGGTTAAATCATTGTAATTTTTGATAAATCAACTTAGGACAAATATATTCAGACATCATTAGTGACATAGAGGGGATTCGAAACAAAGCCTAATCGCCTTAAATTTGATAAATTTCTACAAATTTATTTAGATATTTTATATCAATTCAAATCTTTAAAATCCCCTGATCTTATTATTTTAGAACATTAATTGTTTTGTTAAAATAAAACAATTCGTGTGAATATGAACATTTTTTATTAGTACATTTGCTAGATATCTTTAAGTGAACTCAAGGAAATATAGACATATCGAACACATTGGATGGGCGAGTATATGAGCAATGTTATATGTTGCCTATAATCTCGACTCGTGATGCTCGACGATGAGCAAGAGGCCACCGAGATTTTGTTAACAAGCAACTTGTTTAGACTTGGGTCATCCGAATTAACTTCCACTCGCATGATGCATGTGGGTGATGATGTGTATCAAGTAACAAATGACTGGCGGTCAGTTAGAGGCAATTGTTTCCCCATAATTTGTGAAGAATGAGTCTACATCTTCTAGTTAAGAAATTAGAGTAAACCAATTTTATAGTTCTCTATCCCAACCCAGAGATACCTCATTCTTATATAGAGTTTCTCACCATTCTCCATAATCTACCCCTAAATACTACAAAAAAATACCTAAAACAACACAGAAACCTTTTCGATACATGACTATTTTTTTATACAAAATATACAATATGAATATCAACCCATCCTTAACATTTATTTCTAAAAACACTATCTTCAAAATCATACCAAAAACAATCAATCTTATTTACATAAACTTACATAAATCAATAAGTACTCAAAGTGACTTTTTTTCTTCACAATATATATCTTATTTACATTAACTTACATAAATCAATAAGTGAACAAGTGAATTTTTTCTTTAAAGTTGGTTTCGCCCAAGCCTACGACTGTGTGGACTGGTGTTTTTTGAGGAATATGATTAATGATATGGGGTTTGGTCAAAGGTGGCTCAATTGGATGGATTCGAATGTCTTTTCATGTAAGATGTCAATTCTTGTGAATGGTAGTGAGACCAAGGAATTCAAGGTGTCCAGAGGTTTGAGACAGGGAGATCCCTTATCTCCCTTCATATTTTCAATTATTGCTGAGGGCCTTACTGCAATGGTCAAACAAGCTGTAAATATTGGAAAGTTCAGGAGCTTTGAAATTAACAACACGGTTTCATACAATATACTCTAATTTACAGATGATACACTATTGTTGGGTGATGGATGTTGGACAAATCTGTGGGCTATAAAATCAATAGTGAGGGGATTTGAGTTAATATCAGGATTAAGAATAAACATGTGGAAAAACAAAGTTTATGGTGTGGGTTATAGTGAACAGCTCATGGAGGTTGCTTCACAATTTCTGTTTTGCAAAGTTGGTGTTATTCCATTCAAATTCTTGGGCACAACTATATGAAGGAATCCTAGAAGAATAGACTTTTGGAATCCGGTTATACAAATGTTAAAAGCCAAATTGTCTGACTAGAAAGGAAAACTGCTTTCAATAGGGGGAAGGTGGCACTCATAAATTAAGTACTCACGAGCATACCGTTGTATCTTTCTTCATTCTTCAAAGTTCATGTGAAGGTGGTGCAAGTGATAATCGATATTCAAAGGAAATTCCTTTGGTTGGGGGATTCTGAGAAAAAAGGCATATGTTGGATAAGTTGGGACAACATTTGTAGAGCAAAGAATATAGTTGTTTAGGTATCAAGGAAGTTCATTTTTTCCATAAAAGTTTACTTTACAAATGGCTGTGGCATTTCTTAGAGGATATAGATGTTATTTGGGTGGGTATTTTGCAAGAAAGATACAGGTCACTGAAGAGACGATTATGGATCAATGAGGAAGCTAAACATAAATCGAGAGAATTATTATGGGGGAGGGATATTAGGGAAGGAAGGACTTTGGATAGTGAAGAAGGTTTTTTGTAGTTGTTGTCATCTAAATTAGGAGATGGAAATCATATTCCATTTTGTCTAGGAAGATAGGTGGGCAATAACACAATGGCTGTTCTTTTTCCTTTTCTATTCAGTGTTTGCTTGAACAAACTAGTTAGTGTAAAGGATATGGGAACTTAGTCTAACAGTATCTGGTCCTGAAATTTGGATGGATTCCTTCCTAATGTGCATGAATTGGATCAACAATATTTATTGGAAAAACAAGAATTGCTGGCTATTTTGGACGAGATTGTACTTGTCCTTTCTACTCAAGATTCGTGGATTTGGCCATTTGGGAAGGAAAAGATTTTTGCTGTGTCATCTTGTTACGATAAGTTGCTCAATAATAGGGTTAATGTGCTTATCAATAGTGATCTTAAAGAAGCTCTGGTAGTTCTGTGGCAATCTAAGGTGAAGATATTTGGTTGGAGGCTATTCTTAGACAGATTACCAGCTCATATACAATTGGCGAAGCGTGGAATCATTCATAACGTTCAAGATCAGATTTGTGTGTTTTGCTCAATATCCAACGAAGACTCAAATCACTTGTTTAATGGTTGTTCAAAATCGAAGTTGGTGTGAGGTGAAATATGTGAATGGTTGAGGGTTGACTGGATTTTGATGGAGGGGACTGCGATCATTTTCTGAGTATGGTGGATACTCTTTCAACTCGGGTAACAACACTCAGAGTAGGTGTAATCTGGTTAACAACCTGCTAGTGTATTTAGAAAAGTAGAAATAAAATCTTATTTCAAGAAGCCGATTATGATCTAGGTAACATTGTATTCAAAGTTCAAATGTACACTTGGTGGTGGCCGGCGATAGACACAAAGGAAAGACTAAATTATAATTTCTACGAGTGGACTAAAAATCGAATTGATTTTCTTAAACTGTTATAATTTTTGTTTGTTAAGTGTACCTCTTTGATTTGCATTTTGTCTATTGATTCTATTTGTATTTGGGTTGTAATATCCCCTAGTACCTTCTTTTAAATATATAAATGGCTGATTAAAAGAAAAAAACAAGTGACTTTTTTTCTTCACAATATATATCTTGGCTCTTCATTGACAATAGTGACACACACGCCTTTACCAAACCCATGTGACGTGCTCTCCAATTCCATCCAATTCTTTTTACAAAAATATTGCCAAACCCAACACAACACCACAAAAGCTCTCTCTTTTTAACCTATCCTTTTTCCCTCAAAATATATTTAATTTCTTTTCCTTAGATTGTGATACTTACTTTATTATTATGTTTAAAAATTTTGTGACTCTATCTTCTGGGTTTCCTCGTTTTCATGACAAATTGTCAATTCACCCAACCCATAAGTCATGCCCTCTACTTGTAAGGTAAGACTTTCTCCTTAGAAGAAAAATCCCAACTAGTTAAGATAGTACCAATATCTTTAATCTTAAGTTTCAATAAATATAGAAGAAATTTATTCACCTTTGTCCTTCATTTGAAGAAGCTGCATGGTCCATCCTTTTGTGGTTTTGATTTTAGTTAACTCCTAGGTAATTAGATTTTGTGTCGGATTTAAGTTTTTTCACTTCCTTAAAAACTCCGAAAAAAAAATTTCATAGCTTTGAGCCTTCAATTTTGCTTGATAATTGATTGTATGAAGATGTGAGATTTTCATAATTATAGGACCATGTCTTTTGTTAGTTTATGTGTTACCTTAAGCCTTGTTTTTGGGTTCCTTATACTTTTGATATTTGCACAAATTTTCTATTTTTTATGGTGGAAAAAGAGAAGAACACACATAGATATTGAAATGGAACAAGGTGGTTTCACAAAAGGGGTGTTTTATTGGGGGTGTTGGAAGAGAACACCATGTTCTTTAGATGTTACAAACCTTAATAGAGACATAGAAACCTCAAATCATGAACAGGACATAGAATTGGGTGTTGAAGGCAAAGATTTGCTTTTGAAACCCTCTGGTGAGGAAAGTTTGGAGCTGGAATTGATGAGGTTGCATAATCTCCCTGGCCCACCAAGATTTCTCTTCACAATCACAGAAGAAACAAAGGAGGATTTGGAATCTGAAGATGGGAAATCGAAATGTGGAAGAAGCCGAAAAGGGTCAAGAACAAAGAGTTTGAGTGATTTTATTGAAACCCCTTTTGGTTTATCTCCTTTGAAGTGTTCTGTTGATTCTGTTGATTCTTATAAGCATCAAGGGTTTAATAATCCTCTTTTTGAAGCTAGTGGTGAATCCGAGTTCAACCGGTTTAGATCTTCGCCGCCTCCCAAGTTCAAGTTTTTGAGAGATGCGGAAGAGAAGTTGTATAGAAGATTGATGGAAGAATCTAGAAGAAAGGAAGTTGAAGAGACATATGAATATGAGGTTGAGAATTCACCTAAAAGAGAAACAGAATGCAAACAGATTCAGCAATGTGTTCCACAGGGTTCTTCTCAGGTTCTTCCTTTGACATCTTCTCCTACAATGTTCAAATCACTTCAAAATTCAGTGCATTAGATCTATACAATTAGGACTTTGGTAATTTTTTTTTTACCTTATGTTAAATTAATTTGACTAATGGACCTCTATTATGCGTGTTCTTGAATGATTGTTATGGTTAATATGCTGCAAATTTGCTCATGATTTGCCAACAAATAGAATGCATAGAGATATCTTCTTAGAAATTGTTCTAAAGATGCTAGTTAGTTATAATTTTAAATTGTGATTTTTGTGTTTACAATTCTAGTTCAAGATTATAATTTAGAACTAATTAGTTAACTAGTTTTTTGATTATAACATCCGAATATTTAAAACAACGTCTGAAGTCTAAAGACGTAGAGTTGATTCAAGGTGATTTTAAGGTGTTTGATTTATCAAAAGTAGAATTGTTTCTGCCTTTAGAATTGATTCTATTTGAACTTAAAATTTGTTGAAATTTGTTGGACAATGTGTTTTTGTCTATTCCATAGTTTGCTATGGCCATAACTAGTAATCATTCATGTGAATGTTGATACATGTTTGCGACAATACCAAAAATTTTAATTAAAAAACCTTAATGATTAAGCATTATTTTTCTTTTAAGAAACCCCCACAAATTCACAATCATTTAGTGTACTAGTTTAGTTGCATTTGCTTATCTAGCTGTGTCTTTTGTTTTCTTTCTTAGATGCTTAATTCACACCACATTATCATAATTAGCCATCAAAAGCAAGGTTTAGCTTTCTTAATTAAAAGGTTAACGCGTAAACATGTTCCAAGGTAGATTCACAAATAGTTGTAAACTACTAATAATTATATTGATTGAATTTTACATAGATCTTTATAAAAATGGAAAGTCAATGCTTTATGCTAATGTAATTAGCTAAGTGCTTTACATATAGTAAGTTTAGAATATGATAATAAAAAGAAATTAACTTGAAATGAGTTTTAAAATGTTTGAACTAGTGTGTGTGACTTTGTCATTAACCTTTTTAAAATAAAATAAAAATATCTCTTTTCAATTTTAATGAGAAGGAGTTTTTATAAATTTGTAATTTAGCTAAAAATGAATAAAATCTAATAAATAATTATATTAGTCAAGATTCAAATTTTAATTGTCTCGGCTTCAAAACAAAATTACCCAAAAGTATTAGGATAAAATGAAAGAGATCTATTCATTTAATTAAACTTTTTTATATTCAAAATACTCTTAAAATTTATTATAGTGCTTAACTTTTTAAACCAAAATTAAATCGCTCAATGTAATTCTTTCGTATAAATTTTAAAAGAGAAGTTATATCGTTCAGCGTAGTTTTTTTGTACAATTTTAAAAAAAAATTATATTATTTAGTAAAATTCTCTCGCGCAATAGTAAAATTCTCTCATGCAAGAATATATGATTTATACACGAAATAAAAATGAAATAAAAATGATAAGATGCTAAGAATTTCACACTTTTTTCTATTCTAATTATCTAAAAAAAGATATTTTGCTTAAAAGAAGACATTGGCATTTTTCTATCTTTCTTAACCATCTACATTTTATGGTAAAGAATTCTACACTTTCTTTCTACGCAAATTACCCAAAAAAACAAATTTGGTAAAAAAATCTAACACTTTTTTCTTCTTGTTAACCACCTCCATTATATGATAAAGAAATCCACACTTTCTTCTACCCTAATTGCCCAAAAAATCATTTTGCTTAAAAAGATCTAAAGACTTTTTTTCTTCTTTTTAACCACCTCCATTTAAGAATAGAAGTAATCAAAATTAACATAAAACAAATGTTGTTGGATGGCAAATTGTGCATTTTGCAACATATTTAATAGACACAAAATGGGTCCCACTAGGTTGTTGTCTTAAACAAAGCATGGTGCGTGTCATGAATAGGTTGGTTATTGTGTGTATGAACTTTTACCAAAACAACAAGTGATGTCGCTGTCATCATCACGCGATTCGTTACAAACTTTTCTCTAACCAAACAAAACCAAACCCATTTTACAAAGTAACTTCAGCGCCTGCTTTCAAATTCAAAATTTTATTGCAAAGTTTACAAACTCAGTGCTAACGTAACGTTAAGAATAAGAATAAATTATTTATTTGTAATTTAATATAGAGTCATGGTGAGTGGTGGTTTCATTGTATGATAGCTGAAAATTGATAATTCGGCTTGGTTCCATGTGAAGGTACAAATTGTGTCGTGGTCCTGTGTATAAGTCAATTGTTTAGGTCCACTTGTATTAATTCTCTAGAATTGACATTGCAAATTTGGTTTCATTGAGCTAAATTAAAACCAACAATCAATATGAAAAATTAGTTTTAAAAATTATGATTGTTTTTATTATCATGCATTTATCTTTGAAAGGTCTTGTCAAAACTCATCCTCAGCTTCTCTAGTGAAATCTCCTCAAATAAATTCATCAGTTTCAGAAGCAAGACATTTTTTTTCCTTTATCAAAAATCACCCACATAAAGCTTCCTTCCAACACCTTTTATAACATCCCAAACACCTCGTCCCGTCCTATTTTTCATCGGACTTTTGTTCGTCCACCAACCTTCTCTGAGCTTATGGAATAATTTAAGCATAATATTTTTCTCACACTCCAACACACCTTGGAAAGTTCTTCATTATTCATGGATCCTGAGAAGATATATGTTATCTGGATTAACTTCAGAAGATGGATGAAGATCATCTCTGATATCATGAAATCCATTTGTCGTCAAGAGATTGAGAGGAAGTATGAGGAATGGTTCAAAACCTTTACAAACATTCATTTGACATTACCTGGGATGAAGGTCGTTTTGGATAAACAGCAAGAAGACGATCTTTTCATCTATCAACGCTTGGATAAGCAGAATGAAAGAATTGCTGCTTAGGAGGCTTCGTTCAAGTAACTGTCAATGTACTGATGCAATTAATGGTAAAGTTTGACAAGAAGGATGCTTAAAGCCTTAGCCCTTTGTCTTAGAACTTAAGAATAATTTTACTTTTATTTCTAAAACAATTGTATCTTTATTCCTTTTGATTTTAATGGAAAATTTCTTTTGTCTTTTAAATCTTTTTGATTTCTGACAAAAGGGGAGAAATATTATATGACTTTGATAATACCTATTCTTAGAAGCTTGAGCTTAAACTTGATATAATGCTTTTTGCTTCTAACCTTATGTTTGATGTTTGATTCAGAAACTTTGTGAAGGTTCACCGATTTTCATAGACAAGTTATTTGGCATTCAGAAGATTATCATCTGACATTAGAAGATAAGATCAAGATGCATGAAGTATGCTCTGATGAGCTAAGCATCTATGAATAATATATTCGTTAGAAGTTTTGAACTTTGTAAAATGAATCATGCCCTGATATTATGTATTCTTCAGATGTTATGAACCTTCTTAGTGAATTAGGTTTAATTAATGCTCTGATACAACATATGTTTTAGAAGTTGTGAACTTCCTGAAAATATGGTTAAATCAAGTTCTGATACCCCACACTGTTCAGAAGTTGTGAACTTTCTGAAAGCAAGGTAATCATGTTTTGGTAACACCTATTGTTCAGAAATTGTGAACTTTCTGAAGGTATGGTAATCCGACTTTGACGCTTCAGAAGTTGTGAACTTTCTGGAAGCATGACAAGGTTGATCTGTTACTACGCATTTTTCAGAAGTTGTGAACTATCTGAAAGAATGTCAATGTGTGCTCTGGAAACATATGCTCTAATACCGCGAAGCTGTTCAGAAGTTGTAAATTTTCTGAAAGTTTTGTATTCGGAACCTGATAAACCAAACTCTGATACTTCAGAAGTTGTGAACTTTCTGGAAGTGTAGTAAGTCTGCTTTCAACCATGCATTATTCAGAGGTTATGGACCTTCTGAAGACATGGTCTATGACATGTTCAAAAAACATGGTCTAAAGACATGGTCTAAGATATGATCTAAGATATGGTCTATGACATGGTCATAAGACATGGTCTAAGGCATGGTCAGAAGGACGTGGTCTAAGGCATGTTAATAAGATATGGTCAAAAGACATGATCAAGAACATGGTCAGTCAGGCAACGATTCAGGTGTTGAACCTTCTGATGACATGATGCTTTCCACCTTCTGATGACATGATCAAGTTTCTGGAAGAACCATGGATTTAGTTCTAATGTTTGATGTGAGGCATCAAGATAGTGACTAAACAAGTTGTTATACTTCATAGTGTTTTGATAGTAAGCCGGGTTCTGAGATGAAGACAAGACAGTTCTAGTCAGACTCTGGTGAGACGTCAATGAAGAAGTATTCCTTCTCTATGTTACCTTCTATATTGCAAAATTTATTTTGTAAGTCTTGAACTCAGGGGGAGACTCTGAACAAGCATAAATGAATTTTGGGTATAAACAGATTCAGGGGGAGCTGGTTAGGTTTTCTGAATTTGTGTTATATGGTGATTACCCTGTATGAATTTTTCTATCAAAATACATGGTTTTATCATCATCAAAAAGGGGAGATTGTAAGAACAAGATTGATTATGCATCTGGACTTGAATTTTGATGATAACTTTACATGGTATCTTAGAGAACAATTATGTATTCTAATGGTTTATGTCTAGTGTATAGCTTTTTCTAAACAAATTCTGACTCTGTTAAGAAGGCGTGTGAGATCATCAGGTTCTGAACTCAACGCTCTTTAAGAATATCTATGGTGTGTTACAATTATAAGTCAAGATTTTGGAATGCTTCTTATGCAACAGTTCTAAGGAACGTTAGTACAAGAGCTTCTGATCGTGGCTTTTGTAAGGAAGCTTTGGAGGCCTTCTAAAGCTTTGCTTCCGTGTCCCAAGTTCTGAAGATGTTGAAGAAAAAGTTTTTCTGAACAAGTTCTGAAGATCCAAAGACATTACTTCTGAAGACCAAGTGGTGAAGACTCTGAAGACAAAGGTTATGTTGAACAAGTTTTGAAGACTCAAAGATTTAGGTTATGAAGATGTAAGTTTTGATCCTTCTACAACATGCTTCATCAACATACAAATTATAATCCTATGAAGATATAAAAGATCAAGACTGGGATTACGGTGATGGTAAGCATAAAAGTACAAAGTACACCGTGACCACTACTATGCTAGGGTGGCGTAAGGATAGACCTTTTGTATTATGTTGTCTACCATTCCCACCATGATCGTTAGGGAGGAAACAACTAGTTTTATGTTTCTTATTCTACCCTCCAACGAATCTCTTTTTCAGCTATAAAAGGAGGACTTGGAAGAATTTCAAATAAGAAGAATCAGTTCAACACAACTACGCTAAAACGCAACACAAACTCTTTTGATATATTCATTGTATAGTTTTGTAAATAAGTAAGGAGATTTTATTCATATGTTACTATCAACACTTTTGTGTTGCTGTACTTAAAATTTATGTAATCTTCTTGTAAGAAGCATCATTATATATAATCTTTATAAATCAACAGTTGTTGATAGGTTCCTTGAGAGACTAGGTATAGTCAGGATTCTCAAGAAGACTTTGGTTGCAGTCATAGTGGATTGGCAATAAAGATCAACAAACTTGTTGGAGTTGTCAACAAGGTTGATCAGACTTAGTGTGGTTGTCTGTAATCGGTTGATTATAGTGGATTAAGTCTGTGTGGATAAGGAAAATCACCTTGTGGGGTGGACTAGAGTTTAGTAACAGTGGACCAATATAAAAATAATTGTGTTCATTTTTTATTCACTTGTTAGCTTTGTGATTAAGTTGCGAAAAGATTATATTTGGTGCAACCCAATTCAAACCCCCATTTATTATGTTTCTTGCACCTTCAGAAGATTCATTAGCTCAATAGCCCTAAAAGCTCTCTTCATAGACAACCCTTTGATAAAGTTGACATCTCGACTAACTGACCCTCCAAGCAACTTCATTCCCAACATCATCCTCCAAATGTTTGACAGGAAAAAAATCCTCACGCAGTTTACTACCATCACATGAAAGCCAAAAGATCTCAGTCTTACCAATATTCAATTCGAGACATGATCTTGGACATGTCTTTTGAATGATGTCAAGGGCTTTAGCCACCTCATGTGAATCCCATATGATAGTCTCATCATCCAGATACTAGGCATGAAGAAGAAGCTTACAATTGTCTCTAATTTGATGATTGAGTAGGTGTAATATAAGAGAAAAAAGGAGTGGCCCTAACGGGTCACCTTGTTGCACTCCAGTGGCTAATATAATATGTCCATTTTCAAGGTACAACCTTGCTGATTGTTCATAAAGAAACTCAACCCATAAAGAAATAGATGGGCATCTCACCCTCACCTCACGCAATAGAGCTTGTATATCTACCATGTTGAAAGCATTCAATAAATCTACCGCGAGCATAGCTAAAGAACCGTCTTTGCATCGCTTGCTTAACACCTTGTTGGCACTATGAAAATGGCCTCAGCACCATCTGATACCCCAACTCCAAACTGAAAGTCATTGAGATAACGAGTCACATCTTTGCTGACCTCTTTCATAGTAACATTGGATACCAACTGCCTCCAAATAGCACGGACGATAATTAGTCGTATCCCACCATCAGACTTTAATAACGGTGTCAAGGGTGCAGAGACAATAAACTCCGCTAAACTCATGAGACATCTTCCTCCTAACCATAAGCTAACAACTAGAGTGTCTGCATATAAAATATCTCGTGCCACATCAAAACCTTCTCCACACAGTGCGTCTAATATATGTTGAACACGCAAACCATCTCTACTACATGACGTTCCTTAGAGAAATGCTTTAATGCACTTAAAAATAGTATCAGCATCAGCCACTAGAAAAACTTTGGAGAACAAAGTGGTTGGCATTGAGGGAGATAGTTTATACGTGTGTTTAGTCTCCAAATTTTTTATTATATATCTATTACACGGAGCTACTCCGGATGATTCCAACAATTTTATTCTATTTGAAAGAATTTAATTCTATTCGAAAGAAATCAAACATGTTAAAATTAATTACAAAACAATTTTAAATCATTTTTAAATGTTCTAAGCTTTTTATTTTATTTGGGTCTTTTGTGTTTTATTTTAAACTTAAAGTAAGCACGTAGTCCATGTCTTCATAATTTATTCTAAGTGATTATGCGGTAGATAAATTGTCAGTTTGTCACATTAAAATTGTCATATGACATAGATATATGACTTAATTATTATTTTTACTTCTTTAAATATATTGCTTTTCTTTTTCTTTATCTCTTTCTTTTTAATTTAAATTTCTTGTTAAGTTTGGTAGGTGGTACGCACACAAAAATAACTAAAAATAGGTGCATGTAACAACCGACTATGGAGGGTTAACTCTTATCAATTAATATATCCCTACTAGTATGAGATATTTGTGTTCACTTTTGAGTTCTTAAGATAGGATTTGGACTCTTATGTACTTTGCTAAACGTCGTTTATGGCTTTGACCCATAGGTCCAAAACTAAAAATCAATGTATTTGCAAATATGAAAAGATATTAAGGAGGATTCAGCTTATTTATTAAAAAAAGGAGCATTCAGCTGAGGAATTTAGGGACATATTTATTCAATAAATACTTATCTTAAATGGTAAATAATGAAGCTTACTTAGCTAGCTAAATAGGTCTATATAGTAAATTTCTTCTAGCTAAATAGACTTTTATAGTAGGAGTTATATGAAATGGTTTGATTCAAGAAAAAATATTGAAAATAGGTGGAATAATTATTTTCACAACTTAATGAAGGATATAAGACTATCTCAACCTCTAAAAGCTAAACTTAATGTAGGATATAAGAATATCTCAACCTCTAAAAGCTAAATATTAGAGAGGATGACCAAAAGTATAGCTTATATTATTGGATTTGTTTCATCGAGAAAGAAATTGATTAGAGTTGACAATGGA